TGATTGACATATGATAATTTATATATTGACAGATCAAGTTGCTACATCCCTCCCCTTTCAGTTAGATTTCCTAATATCTTCAGTGCTTCATAAATTAATAATCAACTAACAATTTTAGATTCTTAATGTTCTCGTAATAATAGTTCATTGGTAATCTGATTAAGTTTATAGTTCTAAAAAGTTCTCTCATCGTTTATTATATGTCTTTCGCAATTAGTTTGTTTTTCAAGCGTTCTGATCTTCTCGGTTGCTGCTCAGGTTGTGATTCAGGCTCTGGTTGCTGTTGCTTCTCAGTGCTATCGTTGGGCTCTGCGATGTTGGTTGGTGTAGCTGTGGGCTGTTCTATCTCGGTTGTATCTGGTATGCTAATGTTTGGTATGTTTTCATTTCGTAGTGTGATTTGTTCGTTAGGTTTCGTTGTCGGTAAATGTTTGAATTTGCTTGTGTCTCGGCAGATCTTCCGTTCATCTTTGATTCTTTTTGCGTTCATCTGTGATCCTTTGATCTCCGTGACAACGTAGACGTATGGTTCGTGCAGTGTTAGTCCCTTGCGTTTGTTTTCACGTTTTACCAGAGCAGCATCACCTGGTTTCAGTTTGTGTGTCTTGGTCTTGTGTCTTTTGTCATGGTACTTTTTACACTTGCTCTTGAAATTGGAATCATTTCTCGCACTTTCTTATCGTCTTGATGCGTTTCTGTTGGAAGTGGTCTAGCTTCGTCCTTACCTCTCGATTCATGAGTAGCTGGTATGGTGGTACTTTCGTTGCTGGGTGTGGAGTACTTCGGTATGCTTGCAACCTATCGTAAATGGCTTTGTCTGGGTTGTTGCGGTCGTGTCGTGCGATAGTCATAATCTTGTTGACTAACTTGTTGAATCCTTCCACTTGACCTTGTGCTTTCGGGTGACGTGGTGTGATACGTTTATGCCGGAATCCTGATTCTCGTGCGAAGTAGCTGAATGCATGCGAGTTAAACGGTGGTCCGTTGTCGCTCTGGAGGTTTTGAGGAACACCGTGTGTCGCGAAGATTTTCTTCCAATTCAGCTTCTTTCTCGTCGCTTCGAATGACGTCGTGGTCGTAAATTCTACCTAAAACATTGATCTGTTACCACGAGTGCATATCTACCATTTGAAAATGGTCCACAGAAGTCTAATTCCACAGTTGTCCAAAGTCTGCTTGGGAACTTTGTCATCTTTGCTGGTTCTGTGTGCTTCGTTGCAGTGGAGATTTGGCATTCAAAGCATCGCTTTACAGCGTCTTCGATCTGCAAGTTCATTCCTGGCCACCAGTACTTATGTTTGATCATTTCTTTGGTCTTAGATAGTCCTATGTGTCTTTGCTTGTGCGCGATTCGTACGATTTTGACTCTTAGATTTTCTGGAGGCACGATCTTGTTCAGTCGGAGGATGACGTTTTCTGATTCGTACAGTTCTGGTTGTACATCAATGTACGGCTTTAGAATTGGGTCTTTCTTGTCCCAAACACCCGTTTGCATGGCAGGCTTAATAAGCTGTAGCACTGCGTCTTGTTCGGTTTCAGTTGCGATTGTCTCTTGTTCGGATTCAGTTGCGATTGTCACTGCTCTCACGTGTTTGTCGACTCCAGAAAAATCGATCATCGTAAAGTCCAAATTCTGCATCTTCATGATTAGTCTTTCAATTCTAGGTAGCAACTTGGCTTGAGGGTTGTTGAAGAGTGGTAGGAGGGATTTATCGTCAGTTGCGAGTTGGAAATGCTTGACTCCTAGTAGGCACATCTGTAGGTGTGATGTCGTGAATTCAGCTGCTGAGGTTTCTCGTTCTATGTGAGAATATCTGCTTTCTGTGTCGGTGACTGTTCGACTCACGTAGTGTACGAGTTGGTAACCATGCAGAGTTTTCTGAAAAAGTGCTCCTCCCAGTCCCGTTAGGCTACCATCACAGATGACGAATTTATCTCGCTCTGGGTTGTACGGTATCAGTACTGGCGCAGACGTGATTGCCTTCTTGAAGTCATCAAATGCGGTTTGCTGTTCGTTTGTCCATTTGAATTTCGCGTTGTGTCTTGTCAGTCGCCGTAGTGGCTCCCAATGGCTTGAGAAGTTGTTGATATATCGGGATAGGTATGCTAGCATTTGCAAGAATGATACTACAATCACTTTCAGAAGTTGTTGGGACACATGTAGTTTTAGCTTGTAAGTGGATTGGTGACAAAAATCAAACGTTCTTTACCTTCGGAGTTCCCGAATTAGCAGTCGACACAGCCCAATTACCCGCATGTGAAAGTAACCGGATGTTATATTACTATGCTATAAATTAACAGTATGTGTGACATATCTGGCGTAAAACATTTGCGATAACTATCTTTACTGACGGACTATAACCTCTCAAATAACCTACTTGTGCTCTGCCAAAGTTTGTAGAAACAAACAACGTACAAAACCTTTGTGATTAAGAATTTAGTTTAGTTTAATTCGCCAGTAAATTACAATAACATACATATATAACAAGTTACAAGTTTACTAAACAGACGACTGGCAGGAGTTAGATACAGGACTAATGTCCCAGTTGCCATCCTACCCCTATACATCAATACAATACACTAAGAAATATTCACACAGGTAAGCAATACGTAGCTAATTTATCGAAGTATAGGTTAGTGATTTTAGTCTTAAATAAAGTAATTGAATTACAAGATTTTAAATTAGATGGTAACGTATTCCAGAGTTCTGTAGCCCTAATGAAAAACGACTTTCTATAATAGTCTTGTTTGTACTTAATAATCAAGTTGTAGTTATTTGGGTCGTAATTACGTGTCCGATAGCAATAAACGTAAGTGTTCAGGTACTTATTCACGTCCATAGTTATTAGCCCATTTCTGGACTTAAACAATAAACTTAATGAAGTTTAATATGTTGAAATAACTGGCATCCAAACCGCAGTTTGAAAAAACCCCAAGAAACCAGAAAACAAAAACACACAGCAGACAGGTTTTTGTGGCATATATTATGGGCAAGGAAGTGCTCGAACGGTCTAGAGGCTCTCGCTAACCTACGTTTTACCTAGAGGAACAGGCGGACCTCTAGATTGCAGAGGGAGTGACGCGGCTCTGTGCATGTTGTTCAGCGACATATGAGTCCTGATGGTCTGGGGACCACCATTGGTATACTGAGACAGTATGGGTACTCAAGACCTGACAGAGCATGCAAAACTGTAGGTTTTTCATAGAGGAACAGGTGAACCTCTAGATAACAGGGGAACAGGCGAACCCCCGTTCAGGTCAGTCAGCTCGTTGATGTTGAGTACTAGTTGAACTGGTGAACAACTGATGGTAACTCAACTGAAATGACTTCCCCATCGAGTCTCTAGGTCAGGTCATTAGGTCGCACTGCGACCTGAATGACCTGTAAAAATACACTTCACGTGGCGAAGTGTTGTCCAAAAGGACAGCACTTCCCTGCCATTATTTATTTATTTCATTCTGCAATTCTGGTACAGATGTATAAGTTATATATTTACATAAATGATTAAGCAATTAGGCTGAATTGGATTGTATAGATCGGAAGCATGTCGATCTATAGATTGTATAAGCAGGCAGGTTCGGCTCTGGGGTGGTGGGTGGGTTTTTTTGTATACCAGGTTTTGGTAGCTTACGCTCTGGTTAGAATATTGCGAATGAGGCGTGAAGCATATAGCCTGTAACTAAATGTCTTTCACTAAGAATGGGGCCATTGTATTGTTGCGACGGATATATTTAAGAAGAGTTGATTGATTAAACCCAAGTGCATGACGTGTTCACGTGCTGTTGCCAAGGTTCAATCTCTTTTGGCAGCATGATTAGAAAGTAATGCCTTGTTTTCCAAGTGCAGTAGTTTTGATGACAGATTGGCATTTCCATAAGGCAAATAGAGTCTTCTTTGACATATTACTTCATTAACCACAATTTATTGCGTTGCATAAATTGCATATTTAATGAAGTTTAATATGTTGAAATAACTGGCATCCAAACCGCAGTTT